ATATATTTCCATATGCTGGTTCTGCAATGTCGTACGATGCTAATCTCAATATGAAGACTACGCCCATGGTTCACTTTCTAGCACTGGATATAAGTAATGGAACTGATCTGAGCTATGAGACATGCAAGGAATGGTTCAGAGACAGTTGGAAGTATTTGCACAAAGGTATACTATTGTTGAATGTATGTACTTCATACAGTTTCATGGACAATATGTCCGAGAGAGAACGAGTTGCAATGGAGGAGTTCATAAGGGATATCGTATCTATATCCCTAAGGTTATCGAATAAAAAGATACATATTTACGCACTGGGAAATCCTGCTCGGCATAGTGCCAGTAGAATACGTTCAAGCATCATTGAGACCAAGAGCAGGGTTACTATTCATGAGTGTAAAAATCCAGCTGGATTTAAGCATAAATTTGGCGACACAATGTCGCCCAGCTTTACTATAGGTGCAAAGTCGCTCACTAGATTGCTTGCTGGATTGATAAAGAGTACATCCGACTGTAACAATCTTCTTACTGAGGAAGACTATTTCAAGATGGCAACTGAGGATCCAGACTATCGTAAGTTGATTAACAGAAGTGCGAGTACTGGCGAAAGCTTCAAAGCTATATCATCGTATTTCAAAGCAAACACCGGAAAGACTGTCGAACGTAACGAGGAACTCTTCGAACGTGCAGCTCAGGAGATGAAGGAATTCGTTCTAGCTTTATCTGCACTGAAAGTTAAGACATTGTTTGCTCAGTTGAATGAACCTCCATCTACATCAAAGCCTGCATACTTTAACAGGCGAACTGATTATAATAGAAATCAGTACAGTAGAGGTAGCTCTTCCAAGGCATCAGTTCAAACACCAAGTAAGAGACAGTCTATCGGGTTTGCGGATGATGACACTCCTCAGGAACAATCCACTCAGGGCAGCACTGCAGAATCCAACTCTAGTGTTAGTACTCCTCGTACATCTAACGTTCCTCGAACACCTAACAATCCTCGATATGCTGGATCTATAGCAGGGCAAAGTAGCGCTACTCGACGAACTACTAACATTGGGTTTGCGGATGATGATGACGATACTATCCCAGAGGAACCTGAAGCGGCTGGTCCCAGTAGTGATTTCAACACAAATATCGATGAGAACGAGATACAAGATCTGTCATACATAGCTGACTTTGTTGATCCTGCGAATGAGGAGTACAATATCGAGCCTGCTATTATCGAATTCCTACAGGAGTCTATTAGAACTAGACGTGCTATGACCCCTACATCCAAAGAAGTTGTAACTATTATCAGAGAGACGCGCTCCAACCCTGAGCAGAGGTCTATTGCTAACGCTCTAGGAATGGAGGGGGGTATAATTGACATGCCACATCCTATTATGCAGTGGGTTTTAAAGAACATAGTTGGCTAACAGTGTAGTACTACCTGACACTGTCTTTCCACTTCTTGAAATCTGTTTTGCATTCGAGTGCTGTAGTAGCTGCTACTATAGACTTTTGTCCGTTCGCTAAAATTAATTGTGCGTATATCTTTTTCTGATGAGCAGTCATTTGTTTCACCTTCTCATGAAGAATACTACTGCCTTTAGGCTTAGGTGATGTGTTCACAATATTTAAAACTCCTTCTCTCGTTATGTATGGAAAATCCAACGCAGACAAATTCCTTAACCTTGAACTACTAATAACTCCAGGACACAGCAGTGATCTTTGTCTTATCTCCTCCACGCAGTTTGATATAGTAGGACAATTAAGTATTAATGATTGTATATGTTCATTCTTGCACACTACAGTTCTACCTGATATGGGACTTGCAATAATGTCAAGAGTCTGAATAGCCTCTTCGGAAGTCTTCTTTGGCAATGATAGCACACCTATACTTGGAGTGTTGTTGCTTTCAGCTTCTCTCAGAATTGTGACTGCACTAGACCAGTCTTTGAGCTCCATCACTGTAGTATCGGATGTATCCCCTGATACAGGAAGATTTCTAGATACTATTAGATCCAGGTGCAGTAGAAAACATCCTATAATTGCTTGGCTTGTTTTGATTTCATCACCCTTGTAGTAATATCTACCATCAGCATCTGAGAGAGATAAAGACTTCATCTGCGAAGAGACATTTGGAGACGATAGTATTGGCATCTGTGTTGCAGAGCTGAAATTGTATCGACTGCATCTTTAAAACTTGCACACACTTTTTTCATCATTGATGGCTTTCCCTGTAGCCTGAATGACCCATCACCATATATGTACATGCACGTATTTTTGTTCGCTTCATTAACATTTCTCATGTCATCAGGAGTTACCGTGATCTTGTAAGAATTTGTCTTAACATCGAAGACACAGGCACTGTAACTGGGGAAGTAGGGCTTCAAAATTGCTATGGATTCTCGAGATAGAGCCAGTATGACTTGACCTATAGCATCGTCAGTTCTCAGAAACAAAAAGTAAGATCCAGAGATGTTAGCAAATCCCCACTTGACAGTAAACGGAAGAGTATCAACAACGTATGGTGTCATTCGTCCAGAGAACTGTGGAAGCTTATTCTTAGTGGAGAGTGTACATGGAATGGCATCGGGGTAGGCGCGACTAACATTGCTTAGTGCTGCTTCAGCTGTAGGTCTCCATGCTGCAGGAATTGAACATGTCATTGAAGATATTTCTGGTTGTATGAAGCAACATCGGTATATAGTATTGGTGTTCTCTCTCCATATACCTATAGTGTAAAGTGCTCTTATTTCAGCATTAACGGTAATGCATGATCCGGTCAATGCAGACACAATAGGAGTTAGAATATCTATGGAGGTCTTAGGTAGAGGGACCCCATATGTCTGGTGATATGACACCTCATCATCTCTCTTCAAAACCGATTGCTTGTGAACTAACAGGCTAGATCTGAGCTGATTCTGAGACCGAGCATTTCTGGTCTTGGTTGTTCTGTATAAAGACGTTGACTGCGACATCATTCAAGGTGACGTAAAATCATGCAACATAGTTGCATGTCTTAAATACGCCACGATAAGTTTTAAACCAACTTGTGTTCCAAGTCAATCCTCATCAGAACCAATAAGTCTTGCTTTGGCACAATCCATGCCGGCATCCCTCGCATCTGTCCCCATCATGAGGGGCTGTGGATTTGCCTCCACGTGGTACACTCTCCACATTTATACCAGACCATATCTTAAGTCTTCGAGATACTCTCTCTGAGTATCTCGAAGACTTAAGATATGGTCTGGTATAAATGTGGAGAGTGTACCACGTGGAGGCAAATCCACAGCCCCTCATGATGGGGACAGATGCGAGGGATGCCGGCATGGATTGTGCCAAAGCAAGACTTATTGGTTCTGATGAGGATTGACTTGGAACACAAGTTGGTTTAAAACTTATCGTGGCGTATTTAAGACATGCAACTATGTTGCATGATTTTACGTCACCTTGAATGATGTCGCAGTCAACGTCTTTATACAGAACAACCAAGACCAGAAATGCTCGGTCTCAGAATCAGCTCAGATCTAGCCTGTTAGTTCACAAGCAATCGGTTTTGAAGAGAGATGATGAGGTGTCATATCACCAGACATATGGGGTCCCTCTACCTAAGACCTCCATAGATATTCTAACTCCTATTGTGTCTGCATTGACCGGATCATGCATTACCGTTAATGCTGAAATAAGAGCACTTTACACTATAGGTATATGGAGAGAGAACACCAATACTATATACCGATGTTGCTTCATACAACCAGAAATATCTTCAATGACATGTTCAATTCCTGCAGCATGGAGACCTACAGCTGAAGCAGCACTAAGCAATGTTAGTCGCGCCTACCCCGATGCCATTCCATGTACACTCTCCACTAAGAATAAGCTTCCACAGTTCTCTGGACGAATGACACCATACGTTGTTGATACTCTTCCGTTTACTGTCAAGTGGGGATTTGCTAACATCTCTGGATCTTACTTTTTGTTTCTGAGAACTGACGATGCTATAGGTCAAGTCATACTGGCTCTATCTCGAGAATCCATAGCAATTTTGAAGCCCTACTTCCCCAGTTACAGTGCCTGTGTCTTCGATGTTAAGACAAATTCTTACAAGATCACGGTAACTCCTGATGACATGAGAAATGTTAATGAAGCGAACAAAAATACGTGCATGTACATATATGGTGATGGGTCATTCAGGCTACAGGGAAAGCCATCAATGATGAAAAAAGTGTGTGCAAGTTTTAAAGATGCAGTCGATACAATTTCGAAGTCGAGTTCATGGAGTAGCTTCACAGGTAAGTTCATTCCTGTTGACCGTAAGTGATTGACTCATTAGTTAAGATTGACTCATTAGTTAAGATTGATTCATTAAAAACGAACTTGATCGCAGACAGCATCTTGGTATCTGCTATCATGGCATCGCGCAGAGTCGTGATATCCCCAAAGTACATTTCGGCGAATACAGATCCTATTGGTTCAGCTTTTACATTAAAGCGTTGCCTTGGTATTAACCTTGTAACAGAACCAGTTTTGTTATAAATTAGGTTATCTTCATTAAACTTAAAAATGTATCCTTCTTGGGAGCGCTGACCTAGGCAAGTTGAAAGCCATTGTGACAGCTCTCCACTGGAACTTGTCTTGAGAGTCTCTAGATGACCCCATATGCTGGCAAACATCTTGCCGGGATACGCGGTTATAGTATTATGATTTAGAGTATATCCATGTGAACATATGCATCCTACGGCAATAGAGCATAACTGTTGAGTGCGTAGTCTCTTTGATAATGCATTTGTCAACTCTGGCATAGATGGACATGATTTGAAGTGATCAGGCATTAACACAATCGACTTTCCATAATCCTTCTCTATAATATCAATACTGGATATTATAATAGAAGAACTAGGAGCTTTGGAATACGAAATATCTCTGATGTACTTCTCCATTGTGTACACGTTGCAGTTTACTGCGGGTTTTAAAAACACTACAACATATGAGACGAATAAGTTCAAAGGCTACAGACGCTAGACCAAAAGTCCGTTAATAGCGTCAATGAGTTCCTGTCCCGCAATGTCGGCTTTGGACGCAGGCTGCTGGGGGATGGAGGCCTCCACAGACGGCGCTTCGATCTCCTGTCTGATAGCCTTAATAGAGCCACGGCTGCAGTCAGCGACTAGGTTGAACACGTCTTTGCTGGCTCTGTCGCTGTTATCAGTCTTGGTAAGTCTGACGCTGAAAACAAGATCAAGGTTGAGCTTAACGCCATCTTCAGTCTTAGCAAAAATGGCACCAAGATCCTGTGGCTCGAAATTGGCACTAGAATCAACGACGCCGATACGTCCGCTAGTGTTGTTAATAGTCATCCACCAGTTGTTCTCATCAGATGCGGCACGCTTGTCTTGAAGATTTACGACAATGTTATGCTTAAGTGCCTCTTCAACGATCTTCTCGCCAACAACCTTCTGAAGCCTGGCCAAGATATAGTCAGTTCCATAATTCGTGGACTTGACATAAGGAATGTCACAATCGTACATCTTAATGACCTTAGACTCGTGAGGCCCAGACTTGAACTTGATGAAGGCTTTCCAATAGCGATTCTTAGGATTCTTTCTACGGGTGAAATCACTAGTAGTCTCCTTAACCTCATCAATCTCTACAGCAACGTTCTTCAAATTGTCAAGGTTCCATTTCCCCACACTGTTGAAAGGATTCTTGCCACCAGGAAGAGACATGTTTTCTGAAGATTCTTTAGCTAAGCCAGGAAGAGGTACTCTGTTAGACATGATAGTAAGACTCGCAACTGCGGAGCGTTGCACTTGAAGTCAAGTGAAGTATAGATTAAATGGGATGTACGTTATATAACACTATAATCTAACCAGTAGTATTGAGCAACTACGTTGCATTTGTTGTAATCGAATGCTATACATAACACATGCCAGAATAATATTCAAAGAGAGATCATAAGTATTAATATGAGACTCTCAGGCCAAGATAATATAAACATGAACTTATCTAAACTACTCTCAATATTTTAAAAATGCTCAATATCTACGAACAGTAAGTCCACGGAGTATAGTATAAGATTCGCATTCCATAACAGCCAAGGGAGTTATAAGCTTAGCTTTAAAGACTATAGATTGAGGGGCTCTCTTCAGGATTGCTGCCAGAATGTTGATAACCTCAATTCCATCGAACACACTTATATCTGAATCAGTTTCCTTAATGTACTTAACAGCATCGTCTATCTTCGACTGACACATAGATAACAGAAGATCATTAGGAGAAATAGGCATATGCTCATATGTGAGTCTGATATACATTGCAGCACAGCTGAAATCCATTCTGGATACAGAATCTTCAGGAATGATGCTCGAAGGAATGGAGAGAGCATTAACGTTCATCAGCACGCTGGCAGTTCTTCTCATTATAGCATCCTCAAGATAGTCAGGCTGCTTATCAATATCAACAACACCGTTCGTAGCTAGAGTGAGCGAACAGTTGGTCTTAATTGAGTTTGAACCCACTCTTATATAATCGCTACCGCTAATGTTCTTGAAGATTGACATATTGAGTGGATCTTTCTCGAGATCGACGTCATAACATAAAGCCAAGGATTGCGTTAATTTCATGGAAACCACAGTTTCACAACATTAACTGAAAACAGCCGTGCAACTCCTGTAAAATATTCAAATTGTGGTAAGGTTTTTCGTGGATCATCGAATTAAACAACATACTTCACTACTGGTGTCAGAAACGGTCTAGTGATTTCAGTTCCTGCGTTGCCGCATTACTCTTGAGGTGGAATGCTTACACTTTCATTTATAGACTAAATATTGTTGAATAGTTAGTTTACTACTGATAAACTAATATATTAAAGCTTAATCTAACCTATGGCATTCATCATTTACTGCAAAGACTACTTGGGTATCTAATCCTGTTTGTGCTCTGTGCCTTCGTTCTTCAACGTCAGTTTTTACATAGAGGGCTGCCTTCGCCTTTACCGAGTCCCTTTGGTATAATAGAATTTCATCTCTCCTCCTCAAGTACTGCCCTCTTATATCAAACTCTAGTCAAGTACTAACATTATAGAAGCCATATTGACCGTCTAAGTACCCTTTAAACCTAATTAAGATGAATAACACTAGTCTCTTACGTATTACCGCGGCTGCTGGCACGTAATTAGCCAAGACACGATATATATACCGTCATTATCAATATATAAACAAAGCTTTATTCAATTTTAATACAATCTTATAGATTATATATAATAATATAATCAAAATAAGACTTGCCACTTCTCCAAGTTGCCAGTTCAGCCGTTAGGCCATTGACCAAGATTCCTCACTGCTGTACTAACTTGCATTGGGGTTTTTTCAGACCCAATGTGATCGATCAACCTTTCAGATTCGACTACGAGAGTTTTAGGCTAGTTAAGCCATCACCTTAACTACTACCTATCCCGAAGATATTTATTGTCCTCTTAAAGCAGAATTATTTATCCCTTTATGTATTATGAAGGATTTACCTTCACTTTAAGGTCGGCTAAGAATATCATTATACTCACCTGTACACCACTTTTTAATTTATGTAGCAAGCTACCGATTAAAACGTACGATTAGCATGTGTCAAGCACTTGGACAGCATTCAATCAGAGCCATCACCAAACTCATCTATTTTTATGATATAAATTTCTTTACATCACTATAAGTTCTAATGTTATTTTGTTATAAGGAGAATAATAAACTATATAATGTTTGTAATTTATAACCTAAGTTCTAAGAATATCAGTCTAATTTAAAATTTACAATTGTTCGCTTAATATAGTATATATGAATAAATAACTATTCACTACTTATTTTAATTTCTATTTTTAGAATTTATAATTTTCATTATTCCTTTAGGGATAAATTATTATTGTAACTATAATTTTCCTAATTTACTATTTATTCTCACTTATTCTTTTTTGTTTTTGTTAATAAATATTAGTGTAAATCTAATCCATCTTTAATGTAAGAACTAGTTAACACTACAAATACTTGCGCTTGAATGAAGGCGATCATCATCTCTAAACCTGAGAAAGCTATTATAAATAACAAAGGTATTAATCCTATTATAAAGAATATTATACCTGAATTCATTATATTATATACAAACCCACTTAAAATGCTTAACAACATATGACCAGCTACGATATTCGCCCCTAGTCTTAAACCAAGAGATACACATCTTGCAAGATAACTGATAAATTCTATTATTACTAATAATGGTAATAAACCTAAAGGACATCCTGCAGGTACTAATAAAGAGAAGAATTTTAGACCATGTTTAAAGAATCCTAATATTGTAGCTCCTAACACTATAGTGAAACTTAATGCAAATGTTAATGCAAAGTGTCCTGTAGATGCGAAACTATATGGTATCATACCTATTAGATTATTTACTAATATAAATATAAATAATGTATAAATAAATGGAAAGTATATTTGTCCTCCTTTAGCATTTATTTGTCCTGTAACAATATTGTGTATTGTAACGTATAAAGATTCTTGAGCTATAGATCAGTTGTTACTTACTAGTTTGTTTTGGTTAGTTGCAACTAAGCTTAATATTAATGTTATTAATCCTCCTAAAGTTAAGTAGAATCCTATGTTTGTTAATGATAAGTGCAAATTACCCCCTAAAACTTCTAAATTTAATATGTCTCTTACTTCAAATTGATCTAAGGGACTTCTTATTTCTGTGAATAAATTTTGTGTGGTGTTAAAAAACATTAGTAGTAGAGTCACTACTAGAATATATATCTTGAAAGAACTAATTATTTATAACTTGAAGTTATAATATTTATACAAAGCTATTATTTAAATTAGCTTATCTATAAATTATATTTTATTTATAAACATACGTGATAAGAATAAACGAACTATTCTTGGTAATATGTATTTAGATAATACGTATAATACTAAGACTATTATAGTAAAAGAAAATACTATTTCATTCATATAATAAAAAGGTGTTAATTGAGGCATATTTTGTTTTCTTTTTATTTTATAATACGTAAATTATTTTAATCGTAAATTAAATAAAAGGTAGAATAAATTTCGTTATTATACGCTATATATTAGACTATTCATAGAATAATCTAATACGTTTAATATTAATGAAGGATAAATACCAAATATTACTGTAAATACTACTAGTATAAATAGCATTAAAAATTCTCTTTTATTTATATCATATACACTTTCTTCTAAGAATCTTGTAAATGATCCACCGAAGGCTGTTCTATTAAACATGTATATTGTGTAAGCTGCAGAGAATACTATAGATGAACATGCAAATACTCCTAATACTGGTAATTTTTCTAAGATTCCATATAATGACATGAATTCTCCTACAAAATTTACTGTTAAGGGAGCTCCACAGTTACCTAAGGCTAATATGAAGAATAATGTTGAGAAGATTGGCATCAATTGAGCAGCACCTCTATAAAAGAATATACTTCTAGTACCAGTTCTGTCATATAATATTCCACCTGCACATATGAATAATCCACTAGATACAAATCCGTGGGCTAATCCTAATATTATACTTCCTTCTATACCTTGTATTGTATTACTAAATGCACCTATTAAGTATACAGCTGCGTGACAAACAGAACTATAAGCTATTAATTCCTTAACGTCTGTTGTTCTTATTGTACTAAAACTAGCATAAATTATTGTAATTACAGCTATTGTATAGATTATAAATGTATAATCTAATGCTGCTTTAGGTAATATAGGTAAGATCATTCTAAATATACCATATAAACTTAATTTTAATACAATAGCCGCTAATATTATACTACCTCCTAATGGAGATTCAACGTGAGCTTTTAATAATCAATTATTCAAGAAGATTGTAGGTGTTTTTACAGCAAATGCTATAAATATTCCTATGAATAAGAATACTTGTGTTTTATATTCAAAGTTTAATTTGAATAGAGTATCGAAATCTGTACTACCCATTATTGAAGATGTACTTAATATTGATAATAATAAGAATAATGATCCTCATACGTTTACATAATTAATTATGTTTTCTTTAATTTTGGTTTACTTCAATTCATACCGGCTAACCGGCAATTCTTATAATTTAAAATAAAGGTATTTATTTAAATTTTCTAAATGAATTCATATTTAATTTTATGGATTGTATTTGAGATAAACCTGATTCAGTTAAATGTTCTTTATTGTATATTATATTGGCTACTTTTTTAAAATCATTATAATCTAAGGCTTTTACTCCTTTAATGGGATATTGATCAAATAATGGTATTATTTTTTCAAATATATCTTGAAATTTAACTACGACAAAATATACAGCTGATTGTTTTAAAAGAAGTTCAATTTTACCACATTGAAGAGTAGATATTAAGATCTTTATTAATTCAATATCTCTACTATCTTGAACAATATGAAATTTTAATACTACAGATTTTCCTGTTTTAGTTGTAAGAGAATTACGAATAGAAATATGAAAACATCCATCTCCACTAGCTAATCCTGCTATTCAGTGAGGATTTATAGTTGGATGGTTAGAAGGTAAAGATCTAGATATAAGTTCAACATTAGGAAAAGATAATTTGAGTTCATCGGATAAACCTAAATTCATAGAGGCTCTTATAGAAAGTACTTTTTTAAAACCTTCTCTTCTTAAATGTTCTTTATTTTTAATTAAAGTAATTGCATCT